TATTGGGAGTGTATTGACCCCCTACGGTTTGGCAGTTTGAAAGGATGTTCTACTGATCATTATCTTAGTTTTAAGCTTGATACCATCACAATGGTCTTGAGAAATCTGCACAGTTTGTTAATTTTTGTTCAATCGACATTAGCAAGGCTGTCGATCGTGTGAATCACACTGTTTTTATCGATAAGCTTATTCACCTTGGTGTTGATCGATCAATTTTACCTGTATTTTGTAGGTTTTTTTACAAATCGACCACAAACTGTTTGTTACTGTGGAGCTTCATCGAGTAAAGTTAGTCTTACTTGTGGTATACCACACGTCCTATTATTTTCCTGTCATTTGGTAATGATGTTGCATGTACTTCAGACAACTGTTGGAAATATGCGGATGACCTTATAATTCTTGAGATCATTTCATGGAGAGAGCAATCCAGATTGGTGTCTAATTAACGATATGAAACCCAATCCTAGTAAGTGTAAATCAATGCAGATTTCCTTTCTTCGTCAGTCACCCCCTGTTCCAAGTTACCCATTAATGGAAGTCAATTTCAGATTGTCCCGTCGATGAAACTCCTTGGTGTTACAATCAAAACGACCTCAGATGGGTTCAGCAGGTGCAGTGTATCATCACGAATGCCTCCAGACGGCTTTTTATCTTGAGTAGACTTTAGGAAAATTGGGGTCGCTGTTCAGGATTTGGTTTCCATTTATAAAATGTATATTTTCCCTATCCTAGAGATAGGGGCAGCTGTCTGGTCATCTGGTAATTCCAAGGCTCAGTCCCTTATAGTATTGAACGTGTGCATAAACGAGCACTCCGCCTAATAGCTCATCCTATTCTGTTGCCCAATGCTGATCTTCTGAATAATTACACAGTCCCGATTCTTGCAGCTATAGACGCAATCTACTCATTATGGATTAGGGAAGTCTTTATTAGAATCTGGAAGACACTGTTCGTTTCTGCCCCCAACTCGTCAAAATATTTCTGGTCGCCAACTTAAGAAATCCCAACTGCTCGAGATTCCCCTATTCAAGGACTCTGCCATATAAGTAATTTCCGATTCTTTGTATGGCTACGTTACTAAATGCTGGTACTTGTCTATAACTTTTTTTTATTGGTGTGTGGTTTTTTGTTTGGTGTTTGTCTACCTTGCCAATATTTTGTCTATTATAATTTCAGTCCGTCTTATATATATTTACAATATTCACTGTTTTGCTTTTTGGCTGTAATCTTCATTTGACTACATTCCTTTTGTATTGTAAATCAGACATTGTTAGTCATTGGACTTGATATGTAGAGCCGCTGTCGTTCTTTCATACTTCGGAAAGATCCCTCCTTGGAACTATTGCTCCCCGCTGGTACCCTGGGACACTCTTACAAGCAAATAACAACAGCAAAAACAAAAGCAACAACCTTAGTCACAAACATAACAGCAGCAGCAACAACACCACAAACAACAACAACAACAAACAACAACCACAACAACAGCAACACTAACCACCACAGCAATAAAATCAGCAGTGCTTAGATTATTTCTGACCAGGGCGTTTGAATATTGGCTCTCGGTTACATGCCAATTGTCGCAACGCCGTTAAAAACACTTCACATCACAAGTACGATTGACCATAGACATGAAAGTGCAACGCAGTGCAGTCACGGTGGGAGAGCTCCCGATTATAAAATAGAGCCAGTAATGCACGATGCGTTCCTCCCCTACAATGTTTACTGATCTTCCCGCATAGCAACTTTCATAACTATCTCGTGAAATATTAAACCTGTTGGTATTCCCAATGCCCGAGTCGGTCACATCCCGCACAGCAGAGCAAACGGAGCCAGAGTCGGTGATTTAGGAGCTCCTACGTCATAGTCTCGCATTTTAATGGAGGTTGGTGGTTAAAGAATTTGTGTATACTAAATCACCAACTTCCACGATGATGCTGGAGACTTTGTATTGATGTACAACGGGTCACTTCAGGTGGCATGCCTTTCATGCAGGCCTGCTTTGGACCACAGTGAATTCAACTTAACAGACTTCGTGAGAGGATGTGTGCAAGTAGATCAATGCCCCCGTGATCTGGAGGAGGGGGCTAACCAAGGGTTGGAAGAGGGAGGAGGGGTATATCAACTATAGTTACCATGACAACAACGAAAGAGAACAGTCACAACACCAACAAACCCGTCATTTGTCTGCCTCGTCACCACAGCAAATGATAACAAGCTTTATTCCGCAGCGTTAATGGATTTTCCCACAGGTCACGAGGCGCTGCTGTTTCGGTTTTGAGATTTTTTTCCATCTATCGCTTTCAATGGAGCCGATCAACCGTAGTTTGGTAAACTTCATGTGGTGGTTCATTTAACTTCCCCCCCTAGGGTCTTTGAAGCTTTATATTGAAATTGAGGATTGAAAAGTTATGCGAAAGTTCTGTTTAGAGAGTGGAATAAAAAATACCAAGCTACGGATACATAATGCTGCCATTCAAGTTCACCGAGACGTTACTTAGCCTCTTGCTGGAATGACGACGTAGACGGCGTACCAGTGCGCTTCACAACAGTAAACCTGAGCGGTCTTGAACCAGCAGAAAATTACACTGGCAGTGGCAAATTTATTGTATTACAAAAGTAATTGGTAACTTGCACCAATCCTAAATGCCAGTCTCTTTATGTTGACAACGTAAACGCTGAATAGCATTTGTCGTTTAGGCTATGGCGTCACCTCCCACAAGCATCCACCAGGCCTGGTGCACATGCCGTGTTAGCTGGATTATGTGTCTCTCTGTAAGCCGTTCAGTTCGTTGATGCTGCAGCAAAGTGCTTTTTATTTGCACTTCGTTTTCTTGGTTCCCCCCTTTAAGGTTGGTTATGTGATTTGCGCGAGACGATGAGTTATTGGGTAGCCATTGAGGGTCATGTCGATGCGATAAGGCTGCCTCTGAATGGTGTGGCGACGGCTTGCAATAGCGCAGGCAAGCACGAAAGCCACTTGCTATTGCAATCAGTTAATCTAGTTCCCGCTCTCGGGTAAAAGGCCTGGCTCCTAAATGGATGAGACCAAATATTTTCAATAATTGTCGTTAAATTGCAACTTTGGGGAAGTTACACTTTGAGCAATGACTCGAGACCGTCAGCTCCACTTCAAAACGGGCCATAGGGGTACACATGATTTTCTGGCCACCGCTGATTCCAACATATGATAGGTATTGCAAAATATGCACCCAAGTTAACCTACTAGAATTATCTTAACAAAGACTTAAACAAAAAGCAGTGGTCTAAAAGCATCTTTCGTATAATTTATGCAAGCTCAACTTCTTTGCGTTCAAGGGCGATGGAACGTGCTTTACCGGCTATGATTCCAATATCCATCCCTGATATAACATGATGTATATATTGTCAGGCAGACAGTTTAGTTCCCACAGCAAGCTTTTATAAAGCGATGCTTGACAACCAATTTCTATGGAACTGTCCTTGAAATGGAAGTTACATTTGGCCAAAATAAGAGTGTACTAAACATTACCACAGAGAGTAAACAGTGGCGTCACTCACGGCAACACCAGTGGCGCCAAACGGCGCATACATGGGCTGGTCCAGACCGGCCGGCGGAATATGCGAAAGTACTTTATCTCAGGCAGCCTGGTTGGGCGCGAACGACGCAAGAGGTGGCTATAATGAACTTGGGTGGCGGTTGCTACTGTCGCTCAGTTGTAGCAACGGCGTCACATGCGACGGAGCAGCCGAAAACGTGTCAAGTAAGTACCGACGCATATGTACAGATCGGTTGCTTTAGATGTTTGTCGGTTTTTTCCTAATAATTAAACAGACAGCCCAAAAACACCCTCAAACAAACTCCTTGAAATAACCATCACCAGGAAGATGTCTGTCCCCTCAAAACCGCGATTGGTTGGACCCATGTCCTCAGGTTTTTTTTACCAATTTGGTTTTACTCTTAACCTTTCAGAACAGTTCCCTTTAGCAATTTCTCTATCTTTCTATGCGTACAGGATCTTTTACCACGGATCAGCAAACGTCACACCCCAAAGCAGAAACATGAATCCTCTCGTCACGTTCACAAATTTCACAATTCTTCTCAGCTGCTTCGGTAAGTACCTCTATCGTCCACCTGAGATAACCACAAGTACACGAGAGACGTCTATTAGACCAAAACATCAATCGTCGATGGCGATCGAAAGTTAAAACGCCTAAATTTAAAAGAAGAAAATGTGATCTACGCTTCAATTTACTCTGCTTGTCAATCCCCGGCACTTCGTTGTCCATCATGCAGTTTGGAGGAGAAAACTTGAATAATTTATTCCGCCCCTTCTGATTAATTCCACTAGGGGCACGGGAAGCATGCTGTTTTGATTTTCGTACATTTTGTGGAGGATTATTTATTCATGCACCACTGTCATCCTAACCCTAGTTACAGAACCTGATCACTGCAATTCACACTAGGGTGAGCCGGAAGAGAGCGGTAATGAAGAGGCCATTAAATGCGATTTGCATTTGAGTGGCAGCAGACAATTTGAGGAAATGTGCGATTGATCAGGGAACCCGTGTTTCCCAAAATACCCCACCTTCAACCCAGACAAAAACACCGGAACAATTTAAGTTCCCTCAGGGCAACGCCCACGGAAAGACGTTTTGGACCACTTTCCCACAATGCACTGCGAAAAGGCTTCCCCGTGGCAATCTGTAGGGGGCGCACGTACGGCATTGTGAATCGCCCGTATTCCCTGCGTCGGAGATCCGACAGCAGTGGTAGTCAGCCAGTAGGGGATTGAAAAGCCAGTCCCTCTCACTTTGACACAGTCACGGCAGACACATAGCATTTTAAAACACTGCTGAAACAAATGACACACTGCAGGTCCATAACCGTGAACTAACCCCAACACGGACAACGGGTTAGCACGTCACCGGCAAACCACTACTTAATTGTGTTCATAGGGCTTGGGTATTCATGGTCACTTCCGCTCTCCAAGCCCGGCCAAACGCAAATTTATCACCTTTCATGAGTAGCATATACGCCTAATATTTCAAGGTTTGAAAATGCTAACAGTGAGGGCTGTTTCGTGGCAGTGCTAGTGGTTGTATGTATGGTTTGCGCGCTCGTAGAGGTTTCCATCGCACCTTATCCCTAAAAGAACCGGGGACAGGATCCGCCCCTCAGCACTTTCTCCTCGTATCACCACAGCGCATTTTTGACAGGACTTGAGCCCTTAGGAGTTTCTAGAGTAACTTGTTGCAATCATTTTGACACTAATTTTGTGAAAATTGCACTTGCCTTTCTTGAGCAGTTGGCATTTTGCCGAGACGTGTCAGGCAAAATGCGTACTTTTTCGTTTTTTTCGGAGTCTGTAAGAGTCAAACCATGTTCTTATGTAGCAGAGCTGTAGCTATACCACCTTATCTACAATGTCAATTAACTTTCCGATTTTGAAGAAAACACAATTTTATTAATTGAATCTCTACAGCTGGACTGAACGCTCTCACCTGCCATTCATGCTACAGCGTACCTAACAGCGACTGCGCGGACCCATCCACGGGCAGTTACTCGGGCAACTACTCCACCACCTGCGGCAGCGACGACAACGCCTGTTCTGTGAGTAGATCTACGACTTGGATCGCCGTCCTTTCGCCGGCTGGCCATAAGGCATACTACCAAGGCAGTTTGCTTTTGCCACTAAATAGTAAAAAGTCTAAAAAAGAGATAGATAAAATGAATGCCTTGGCACTTTTTAAAGAAGGAAGGGGAATATTATCGGCTGCCTACACTGTTGGAATTTTATTACCCATCAGTGGGGTACCCCCAGCAGTGTAGCCAGGATTAGCACGGCGGGGAGAGGGGGCTTCACGCCAAAGTGGGGAGCTGATTGCACGTTGGACATGATATACATGTATATAATAGTGATCACACCAGGATGTTCAAGTGTGGGGGGGGCGATGATTTTTTGGGGGGGCTGCGCCCCAAGCCCCCCCGTCACGCCGCTGAGTATACCCCCATGATTAACCCACATTTGTTAACATAGTCAGAGGACAGAAGAATGTATTCATGTGTCGACCATCTTGAATTGAAAGTTAATTTGAGATTAGAAACATATAAAGGCAAGAAAACAAAATTTCAGCAAAGCTTCGTGCAGGCTGGTGCATAATTCAGAATAAGATAAAATTTGTGATGAATTAAATATAATTGTTCTAAACCCCATTGAAACCAATGAAACTAAATCGTGGAACCCAAAATAGTCTGGCACCATCCCTTTTGGCGGATTATATTAAATATGATATGTTCAGAGTACAAGATTGTGAAATGGCGTCCCTGTGTATAAAGTCTACTTTAAGGTGAAGTGAAAGTGCAGAATTTTCCCTTCTCAGTCTCTTTTTACAGTGGCCTTGTTGCTTTAACGTACACAATGCTATATTGCTGTAACATGACATTACTTTGTTTCTGAAATATTTGTGTGACAGTGTCAGGGCTGAAAGCTAGATAATCTTAAAAATACCCGGCGCCATTGTCTTAACTCGTAAATTATTGGGTCTTTCAAGTTCCTTGGGGACAATTTTGTTGGTTATTTTTCTTTCTTCTGGCTTTTGTTTATTTGTGATTGTTTTGTTAAAATTTGGTTTCTCGTTGGTCGCAAGACACGGCTTAGAATATATTCCCACCTTCATAAATTTACTATGCTATACCCACCACTGATACGAGCTTCACTTTGCTGCTTCGGGGACATTAGACTGTGCGATACGAGGCCAAAGTTTGAGACCCAAAAATAAAACGTTCGGATAGGGCCCACGAGACAGTTGGCGAAGCTGAGACCACGTCTGAACTACTTGGCTGTGACTTGAAACCACACACGACTGGGTGGGAGCTGGCCGGGGCCACCACCATAGACTCATGCGCAATTTCAGGCCACGGTCAAGTAAAATTCGGACACTGCCCAAGAGGGAGACGAATCATTGCGGTAGCTATACGCGATGACCTATTTTGATAGCGCAAGTCTCACATGCAGTCTGGATGCGTTGGCATCATTGTACAGTATACGCGTGATCAGTCCGGAAACAAAGTTACCCAGGAAATCAAGCGCACTTAATTGTGGTGGAAGTATGGGGCATAGGGCACCCCCCCCTCTATAGCAGGGTTAATGACGGACCTGTGCCTATGTGTACGATGATTTCACATCTGCACCCCCACCTAAGGTTCGTTCGGCCTCCCATTCTCACAGCTATTAACCCTGGCTGTGGAGAGAGACAATCGGTCTTTATACTGATGACCCCACACGGTGAACTGTTTTTTTGCGTCGCTAGAAGACGAAAGCTTTGTGAGGGTGGAAATTTGCATTTCTGACAAAACTTCCTTTTAAATTTGCCCGACGTATATTTTAACACTGTTTTCTCAGTGTGTGCACCCGAAGGCATGTGAAAAAAAACCACAAGCTAACAACTATTTCAAAGATGGATTTGGCAAAATCCAAAATTAATTTACATCTCCTCGGCGCAAATCCATCTTTGAAATAGTTGTTCTCGGTACCTGCTGTTACATGTGATTCGAACCAGCCAGCTGACACCGGCAATCTCGGTGGTCGAGTGGTTAAAACGTCTGCAAGGGGTCGTGGGTTCGAGTTCCACCCGAGTACGCTTGTGGTTTTTGCACAAGCCTCCGGGGGCATACACTGAGAATACAGTGTTAAAATACACGTGTGGCAGGGCAAAATCCAAATTAACTTTTAAATCTTCCCGGCGCAAATTCATCTTTGAAATAAAACTCTTCCTTTCTCTAAGTTATTTTGTTTTTTCTTTCCTCCGATAAAAAAACAGAAAACCGTGGGCAAGTTGGACGGGTCAGTCACGATCACCACCCGCAGCTGCTCCTCCAGTTGTGACGAAAAATGCGTCTCCCTTGCTGAGAATGCTGAGAATTGTGAGTACTGCTGCACCACCGACAACTGCAACGGCGCAAGTGCGCTGACCTTTAGCCTGGCAACCGTGGCTGCCACCATCTTGGGCGCACTTGCGGCACATGACGTGTAGATCTATTTGCATGTTCGGGTGTGCTGAGTGGGCACTGGGTGGCAGTGGTTTGAATGTGTGTGTGTATGCTGTGCTCCTTGACTGGTCAAAAAAGCTCCAGAGTTACAGCTTCACCTTTGAGACAAAATTATACGGAGACGGGGACTGAGACTGCACTCTCTGAAATCTGGGCTGATGAGCAGGGTACTTGATTGGTCTAGCGAGTCCCAGATTATCAGAAATAAGCGAAGTCTTGATCTTGTAACGGGAAAAGGAAAATGACACGTGACCAGCAGTCTGACGTGCCGTCTCCATTTGGTGAACGTTTCTGGTTGAATTCGTGTGCAGGCATTTTTGTAATAATGTTAGATGTGTGTTGGTTGACTAAAGTCTCTTATTATTAAAGGAGAAGCCATTAGATTGATTGCTAATGTAGGCCATTTTTTGTTCTTTCCTTTCGTTCAAGTGTGTTCCTCATCAAGCTCGTCTTTTATCGGAGTTGTAACGAATCAAGATTTTTTTTTATTCGAGTCGGGTCATTTTAACTTAGTGACTCAAGTTAAGTCATTACGTTAAAAGGTCCCGTCAAGTCGGATGAAATATTTAGCTTGAGTCATTTCGAGTTACCAACATTTGAATAGAAACCTGTAAACAAAACCCATTACAAATGTTTTTGGCATCTTTTAAAGTTTACCTCTGGATCTAACATCTCATCACAACATGTTATTCTCGATGATCGTAAAAGTGACATGAACATTAAAAACCGGAACTGTGAGTCACTGCAAATATTTTTTTCGCAAAGAATTTTTGCCTCTTTGTTTTTGATCTTTTGTTTAACTTCCACTCGAGTCGGGTCTCGTCATAAGGGACCCGAGTCGAGTCATTAAATTTGTTGCTCAAGTTGGACGAGAGTTGAGTCTGAGTCGTTGCAATCGTGTCTTTTGTTTTCTTTTCAATGGGTGCGTTCGATTAGCCTCCCTGAACACACCAGTGTTACACTCAAGGGAAACCTCAAAATGAGGCTAATCAAACGCTGCAGTGTGTTTTCCAAGGCATTCTGGGAAAAAGGTCAAGTCCCCGCCACGTTCCATCATGTACGTCCATGCTCGAACAGTCCATCCGTGACGTCATTACACTCGGGCAGCCTCCAGAGACCCACTCGCCAGCCGGGGTAGTAGTGGCTGACACCAGGGCAGGCACTGATCACGTGATGGCTAAACGAACGCTCTCTTGTGTAAGTTTGACTTACACGTTTAAGCTAATCTAACGCACATAATTCAGCAGGTTTATGTCTCCGCTCCTTGCCAGTGTTTCCACTCTGTGAAGAAACCTTGGAACCGACAATACAGGTGAACTGCACGTCCATACGTCCAGGATAAGACGACTTTGCAGAGATCTTAATCTGTCGTTGAAATTGTGTACCACCAGATATCCGAATCACACTTCGGATAACTATAATCGACCATTTATGAACTGAATGTTGTGACGACACACAGCTTGAGATTTATTGGTGGTCTGATGCAGCCTTGCTCTATTCTTTATGCCTACTGCAAAGTGGATTTCTGTTTACTTTGAAGAGTCATGCCCTGGTGTGCGTTGTTCGTTCGAGTCTCTGGTGTTGTCTAACATAGAATTAATAAGAAGTCGGCTATTCCTCCGATTTTTTCAACTGTATCTCTGCCACAGGAAGCTTACTCAGGGGGGTTGAGGGATGAAATCCTCCCACGTGCCCTGTCTAGTCAAAGCATTCCTGCTTGATATATTTACATGTAAGAAATTAATGTGCATGGAAAAGTACTTAGATTGGCTCTGGCTCGCGTTGGAAGACTGGTGTTGCTATGGGTGGATGGTTATTGTTACCCAAGAATTGGAATATATTTGAGGGGTTTTTTTTCTCCTGTTGCAAAAATGCACAAAATTTGGTGATCCCCTTTTCTTCCATTACTGAAATGCTTGTGTCTGGAAAAAAGTGTCTCTGTTTCTCCCTTCTTTTCTCCCCCTGTAGCAGGCTCTCCCTTAAGGAAAACGATTTTAAAAATGCGTGTGTCAGAGCGCGGGTTCAATCATTCAGAAGGTCATTAACCTATGGTAGAGTCGGGCGTAAATTCAAGGTCAGATTGTCCTATTTAAGGCCCTTTCTGTTATCAGGCATCCTGTAATTATCATTTTCAAGGGAGGGGTGGGGACCAAAGATATCACTTTCAGCTGAATTGAGCCTGGCTGCTTAAATCACTTTAATATTGTTTACTGGGGTTTCAGGAAATAGCAGTTGGAGATTTATGGTCGGTTCTCGTCACGTTCACTGAATCACGCATGGAAAGGGCTGCAGGGAATGGCACAGATGCCAAGATTGTTCGCATTGTTATAGTGACTTCTCTGATGCTGAGATATTTGAAGCGAGATATGGCAGAGAGACCACACCCACATTTGTGGCGGTCAGGGTTTGATGGGAGCCTCAGGAATTCTTTTCAGAAATGTAAGGGGGAGGTGTTAGGTAACATTAGTCTAGACTGAGTACCCCTCGGTCCCTCATCTTGCTGGGTATGTGCTGAGGTATTAGCTGAGATCAGACCTTCGCACTAAACTGGTTCCCGTCCCGTATAGAGTCTCCAGACGTCTCACAGACGTCTTCCCAACGTGGAGACTAGAAGAAGGTAACGAAACCGGAGGAATCTTTCCAGTTTTATGCAAATGAGGAAACAACGCTCAATGCTCAATGCATAAATCGAGAAGGGGCTGATAAAATTGTTTGCCTTTTCTAATTTTTACCAAAATAACTACATCATAAATTGTATGTACATCTGAAATTTAACACAATAACCCCTAGTTTGAAAAAAAAGGTTGCCGGAAAAAGATTTGCCCTTGCTAATTAATCTTTTCATCGAAAAAATAAGTTACCACATGCTTGTCACAGAAACGTGATTCATGTTAAAGCTCTGCCAATGGCCTGGCAAAACTTTCTATATTCACCATCCCAACTGACAAGGCTAATCGTACACATTAAACTACACCTTGCTACAGGCCCTTATATAACAGGGACGGGGACCATCCATCCAAAAATGTTGAAACTAAATTGCAGTAAAGTCTAAAAAAAAAAAAAAAAAAATCCACTAATCCATCTCTGTAGTTCCCGCCATTACACGAACTCTTGTTAAGTAAAACACTTTTAACCAACAAGCTGATCATCAGGTTGAAATTAGCGAAAAATGTATGACGCAAGAGGGCGCTCTTCAAGATCAATCTGCCAGTGTAATAGGTCAAAAATTGCCAGCGCGGACCGAATCAGGATTTCTAAAGTGTCAAATTCTCTGCTATTAGAGCATTTCGTGACACGTGGACTGGGTAGTTTGTAAAGGAGGATGAAATCTTGGAGCGGGACTTCCAATTAGTGTTTGTGAAAGTATCAAACCAAACGGGGCCCTCTGAATTGCTCTATCTGTCCATGAAGTGTGGGTGTCAATTCTCAGAATAATGATGTGCTTCAGAACTGTTTTTGACAGGTGATTATCTGTGGAGAAAAATATCTTCAAAACTCATTTAAGCCACGGAAAATTGAAATGGAAATAAGAGATAAGGAAGTCAGCTTTAGTTTGACAAGTGTCTTGCACACCTGAGAAACTTGTGAGCATCTTTCCTTGATTATTTTTTAAGTGGGAATATTATTACTGTTGTCTATAGGCGGCTCCTTTATGGTCTGCAACCATACACGGTAAGTCACAGCGCCCTCTATTGCAAAAATCGTTTCTTAAAGTGGCATTCGACTGCAACTTTCTATGAGCAGCCAAAGATTTCAGAGAATTTGTGCTCATTACGTTTGCCTAGACGAGCACAGTTGTTGATCATTGAGTGTGCTGATATTATATTCCATGAGGTAATGTGATAGGTCCAATATTGTGACTGAGTCTAGCCTATTCTTGTTTTGGCTTAAATGGCACTCACTGCTAGCCACAGTTTTGCCGGTCGACGACGCCGGTTGGCAAAAACTGAGCCTCTTTGACGAAGCAAAATAAAGGTCAGCGACCATGGTAACCGCGGCTATCACTCGTGGTTTACAATAGCCCAGGTGACGGCGACCAGCGTTGTAATAACTAATGCAAGCGTCGGAGCTATTGTTTTGTAACAGTTTTACATCACACTTGTTGGAGGGCTTGTAAACTGAGTGGTCATCGGTACAAAATCAAGAGACTTATTCTCTCAGTGTTAACAACTCGCACGCAGCTTCTCAAAATACCAAATGTTAAGCCATATTAGTAAACATTGAAAACACAAGCATCGGTAGGATAGTGGGCCAAAGCGAACATGGATTTTTATATTAAGCACGATATGTGGTAAAGGCGCACCCTCCCTAATGTGATGCACAGCTATATACACTAACGCTATTGTGCCTACTTCGACCCCCCCTGAAAGGAATTCCAAAGGTTCTGTTAACATAAAAGAAGACAATGTAGAAGGGGTCACCTTTGCTACACATCGTGCATCAAATGTGGAGTTTACATCAGACAGAACAAGATCGATCTGCAAAATTTGGCCACCTTGATAAATATTAGCCGAAATGAAAGCGGGCTATATACGTGTACACGCTGGTAATATGTACCTATTCACCTGCTTGGATAGGCATGCTGGGCGCTCGATGAATACATCTTTGGAATGGCACTTCTTCATCGATTTTTGCAAGGCGTTTGCATTGACGTGACCCGCATTGTGTACGCGCCACCGATGAAGGAAACAGGTCCAACAAT